CCGTTCACCGTCGCAGGTACCTTAGTGCCTTCGATATCCAGCCTGGTTCTGTTTTTCGGGGTCATGTCTGTTGTCATAGCACCTGGTTTATATGACATGCGGAGAGGGTGGGAGCATCACATACGACTGGAGGAGTGGAGGTGCTCTTTAAAAGCTCCTATCGGATACACCGGTTTTTTACTATCCCCCTGTGAATACGGCCGGCGTTGTTGTTATTCTTCGAGGGGTGTATTCCCATTTCCTTTTCTGTGTGCGTCATTTACCTCAGCCCTTCAGTCTTCGCAAGTGTTAAGGACTAGCTTAGGAGGGAATAGTTAAGGATTAAGGGCAAAATTGAACAATGTTATGGCTAGATTTTTGATACTAGTTACCGCTATCTTTTTCCTAAAAACAAAAGAAAAAGAAAAATAAGGGAATCCTTCTTCTTAAAGAGACAGAAAAGGGAAAAAAAACAAACAAAACAATAAGCAAGACCTCAGAAGGAAGGAGAACAGGGCCTCATAAGGAAAGAGGTTGTAAGGATATACAGCTCGAAGGATTCGCCAAGAAGAAAGGACCCACTACACGGAAGGAAGGAACTGCTGTTCTCTCGTGGCGATCTTAACGATATAAATTTCCTTCTGAATTTCATGTTAGAACGAGGACTTAAAGTGGAGGACGACTGTGCGCAAAAAATTCAAGTCAGCTACTTCAACATGTATTGCCTCCGCAGTTGCATGGTCCCGGCCAATTTCGAGAAAATGAAATATTGTGGTGTCCAGAAATTGCTTAAGCCATGGGCTGAGCATGACCCGGAACAGAAGGAGTTGTATGAGGCTATGGCAGGGACATATATAGACCCGTTTACCTAATCTTAGTCAGTACGACCATGGGAGCGCGGTGTTTCCATGAAGGATTCAGTTGGAGGTTGAGAGTTTTAGTGAGGTCGGGTGTGGCAAGGGGCCACAATTTGAGCTTGGAAGAAAATGCGAGGTCGGGTTTTCTGATGCAGGGTTATCTTTACGTTTTGATGTTTTTTCTTTTACAATGAGCCTGGAACTACCTGATGGTACCAGGAGCCACCCGTGAAGAGATAAGAGTAACTACTAAACAGCATGGAGAGGGCCCGAAAGGTGGTCAGCAAATTGCGGAGGGGCAGGCAATTGATGATGGACGGATGAATGGTAGGGTATGAAGCAAATGGGAAGGTCGTTCTGTATCACACTGGGATACCTTCTGTGACGGGTTAGCACCTGTTAGCAATCATCTTGCACAACCAACTCTCTATCATCCACTCATCTGCTTAAGTGCCCATGTGCATTCGTAAGAGTCCTTCAATATTCTTGTGATTTCATCTCACAACCACATAACTTCTAAGATTACTTCATCATATACTCTTACTGAGCTCTACAAGATCTACTCAATGAGATCATTTCAATGTATATAAATGATATCTTGATCTTTGCTGATGGATTACTCACAGAGTATTGCAAATATATACAATAAATACTCAACCATCTATGTGAAGCAGAACTGCAAGTGAACACTGATAAATACAACTTTAAAACTAAGTTTATAATTTATTTAAAATTCATCATCCAAGTCCCATTCTGATGATTATATAATACATCAATCTGATGATATAAGTTAATTGGTGGAAATATTACCTTGCTCTTACCTACCTAACACTGCCAACCTACCTACCGCGGTGAATCTATCGCTGCCAACCAACCTACCATTACTAGTCTCTAAAAAAAAAACACATTCACACCCCACCCACCATCCATGTCATTGATTTCAATCATGCTGCCTCAAGCAACAAGCTTGTGCATTGACATGATTTGAAGAAATAGAAATTGTCATCAAATAAAAGTGTGTAGAAAGGAAACTACACGGAGAATGAAATAAGAAAAGTACATCAATATTCTTATTGAGTATAGCCACATATTACAATCTGCTGGAAAATTGGGAGTGTGATAAAAATTTTTGCCCCTCAGCATATTTGCGCATACAGTTCTCATGGGATGCCGGAACCGTGAACCATGACATCATAGAGGACACCAGGTGGGCATACAACGCAACGCCAGGTGTTTTATCCCTGGCTGACCATTTCTGCCGTCCGAAACCACTCTGCTAACTCATCCAAATCTCTTTTAGCATTGCTATCAATTGTTGTTCCCCCCTCCACGGTCATTATTTCTACGAGAGCAGAATTGATAATGGCAAACACTCAGAGACTTCTGGACTATTTGATGGTGGCACCCCCGGGGCTCCCTATGGAAGAAACTAACAAAACTTCCAACATGACAAATGACCAATATAATTGGAGGCAGATCAACAGTGTTGGTCAATGGTCTGAATTCACCTACACCCATATTATGCAGCTTTATGGGACCTTGCTTCAGCAAGTGCAAATTGAGAATGAATCAATGCTGAACTCTCCTCCACAGTTTATAAACACTGAGTTGATGTTTGCAGTCTGTTTCACTACCTATGTTCAAAGTTGACTACGCCGTGCGCTGCGAAGTAGTTTCCAGCACCTTGCACCTCAGCTTGCCAATTTGCATCTTACTCCTATCACAGTTGACATAGGTGATGCAGCTCAAATTATCAACAACTTCCATTCTGATATCACCTTTTTCCAAGCCAGCAGTACTCTCAACTCCTCCCCAAATCGCTGTCCAGAAGATCTAAAGGTGTCATGGAAATGGGGATCTGACTGGGCAGCAGTGAAGTCACAGATAGATCACATGGAGTATTTGCAGGTTTTGTCACAGATCAACTTCTACATGAAACAGCACAACACACAGTACAGCTTTGTTCTAACTGAACTGAATTGGTTCCTATTAAGAGACTCAATGCGAATGGCAATCTGTTGGTAGCACAGGCCATACCATGGGAAGCTGAAGGGCCTGGGCGTTTGACTGTTCTCTTGAGACTTTGATATCTCGGGATGTTGGGTGCAGCGGATGATGACTTGCAGCTTCTATAGAACACTACAGAGGTTGTATATTGTGCAACATACTAGGGCGTTAAAAAATTTCAGAGCTCCTGCCTCTCCTCTCTCGCTCTCATTTTTTGCTATACTCTAAACTATTCTGACTACTGAGTCTACAATCGTTTGGGTAGGTACAATTGGAATGGAAAGAGTGTAGAGATGAGGGATGCGAAAAAGTTATAGCTTGGTACACGAATCGTTTGATGAGACTTGACCAAGGATTCAACTATAAACAGGTACATACTTCCATTATTGGAAGGGTGTGATGCTCTTGAGGTCGGTCTGTAGGCGCGAATGGACGAACTGTCATTCTAATAATGTTTTGTATTTGGAGGGAGACCCTGTTTCTGATCATCTGCCTGTAAAATCTTTCAGTGGCAAGGAAACAAGAAGTGAATATCATCTGAGGCATCAACAAGTTTCACTCCAACACTCTCAATCTGTCTGGTTTCAATCTCAATCCAGCCATGTTCTCTATCTCCAATGTAGGTGCTATCAGGGTAAGTGATTGCAACATCAAAATCTATCCACACAACTCTTTCTGAATCATCAGGAACAATCATAATGTTTTTGGGATAAGGATCATTGTGCTCAACCAAAGCTGAATGTATCTGTTGAATGCCTTTGACTGCCTTGGCCATTCGCTCTTTGCTATAAGTGATGCAGTTCATTACCAAAGGGTTTGGCAGGTATTCCATCAAAATTGCACTTGGGAGGCCAGAGTCGTGTTGAAAGACATCCAGATGAGGGGCAAGGGCAGTTGGGCGCAAGGATAGTGTGTATCCATAAAACTGTGGCACGTAGCCCCCATCGCATATGCCATATCACTTGAGGCTTCAATAAGCTCGGATCTCACAGCGAGCGCGATTCAAGTCACGGACCCCGTCATCGGCATACCCAGCATCTTCATCATTGTGGAACTAGACAGGGTCAGCTGGCGTGTTTGAAATGCACTGATAACCAAGGCACCTACAACTTTCAGAACGCGGGGCATGCCATCATAGTTCACATGGAATATTGATGATGCCTCCGATGTTTTCAGCTCTTTGATAAACTTGATCTTTGTGGGATCAATCTCAATCCTTAAGTCATCATCAAATCCGCTCGCCTCGTAGATGGTACCCTCTGGGCCGCGAGGCAGACTGGTATGCCCGGGCATGAGGGCGGGTAAGAAACTGAAGATAGCCAAACCACCGACTTAGGTTAATGCGCACCAGTCTCCCAGGTAAGTTCACAGATGTGAAGCGCCGTTTCGCGCCCTGTCCGGAATTAGGCTGTTCCCGGCTGCCAGGTTGCCATAGCTCATGTGACTGAACTGAAAAGGGAACAAATTGTGTTGGCCCTAGGCTGCGTATCACGGACTAGCGCACCGCACATAGTTATATGCCTCAGCTGCCGACATGCTAATTTCTTTTCAGCTGCCCAACGGGTGGAATTGGACATTGTAGAATGGTTTTCTCCTTTTTCTTGGTCAGAGCAGTAGAAACATCATTGTTAGCCGTCTCCCAACAATAGGGGCATAACTATTCATCAACTCCCCTGCCCCAAAGGGTTTCCAACCCAGAATCAGAGAGCTCGCCTATCATGGGCTGGTCTATCATGGGCCCGACACGTCACCGTTGCGCATCGTCCTGCATGTTTCCCTGGAACGGCGACAGGCGAATCATGGACAAATGATTGTCTGATGCATGATCGCCTATTGCTTATATTAATATCATATTAATCATATCCGATCATTACCCCTGAAAGATCACCCTCCTCTTAACGTTCCTCAGGTTCAGCTCCTCTGACCCACTATCCACAAGCTAGGGATCAACTTTGGATTTGAGACTTCGTCGCGATGTGGAGAAGCAATGTCACCAGGGAGCAACTGTTGCAGAAAATCAGCCTCCTAGCTATGCTCGGCCCAATCCGGGATGGGCCGAAATCACATACTTTGAAAGAAATTGACGGGGCAGGGCGCATCCTGACCATCGAGCAAGAAGGGGAAATCATTGATAACTGAGCATTTCTCTCCTATCGCCGTAAAAACTGTCGAAATATCACGGCGCTCTGTATTCAGGAGGATGAAGATGGAGAAGGGATGCTTGTTCGTCTAGCCGTCAATGGCGATGCGCTGTCACATATCAAGAAGGGTTTACAGCAGATATACACGGTCTTGGAGGAAGTTGGCACCGACGCGGTAGGGTACCGCAATGGAAACCACCACCATCATACTCAACTAACAACTACAAGGCAACCCCGAGAGTACCGATGTGGAAGTGTGCTTTTCGACAGATTATCGAACTTGATTTTCCCCGAATATCGGCACGGCTGAAGCTGGGGGTGAAGTATCCCATTACTAAACCCAGTGCCGTGCAGCTACAGAAAGTGCTACACCAATACCCACTGACTCAGATCGAACCTACCGAGCTCACTGTTTTAAGGAGAAGTCCGATGCTTAGGGTTATTAAGGTCTGTTCAGTGATTTTTTCCGTACAGTGCTAGAGCTGTACAGAAAATGAATATTAATTTTTTGACAATGCAAACCTTCAATATTGCCATCTTTCTCTATATAAATAGTAATCTGCTTGGCATTTTGACATTACTTTTATTACTTATCCATGGTTTTTATGATGATGATTATCATGCCATTTCAGTGGATGTGTAGCAGTTGAAATTTCCATTATATTACTATTTTTTCACATTAAATATCAGTGAAAAATAAATCTTAACGAGTCTTAAATTGATTCAATATTACAATATTTTGATGAATCTGTAATAAATGAGAGTCAGTGATCTGAATTCTCAATATGAGTCACTCAATCCACTCAGTGAGATTTTACATCATACATTTCATCGGTTTTTCAGCTGTACATTCAAATTTCTCAGTTATATATTCGGTGAATCTCTTAATGAGTCTGATGTGCTGCCTAAATTCAAATTGATTGAACCTCTGTCATGAAGCTTGCCATGCTCAATATCTTCATTAATGTCAAAAAACAGAATTTTAAAATGAATAACAGTAATTACAAAAGTGTTATTTGATCTGCAATTGTTGAGACTGTTAGCCAGCATACAAGTCAATTTATTATCAAAGATATATGTAATAATCAATGATGGAAAATTAAAATCATATAAAGCTGTGATGTAAGCTTCAACAGCAAATATCTGAATGATCATTTTGTCAAAAGAAACTGATATATATCAATGATATTGAGATTACAAATGTGTATTTCAATCGATATTCAGATATGTGACAATTTCAACATTGAGAATCTTCATATTTAGAAATCATTGATGAATTATTTGACAATCATTTGACAACAGATGATTATGCTATAGAATATCAAACTCATTAACAAAGAAAAAGAGAAGAAATAATGAATGAAAATGATAGTGATATTGAAATTGAAAAAAAATTGACATCATCCACATTTGTTGTAGAATTGTCAGAAACAATTCATCAAATTTTTATAAACTCATTTCAATCATCAATAATAAAATTGTCAACTGAAACTTCAGATACTTGAAATCAATCATTTAAAAGAAAATTTATTAATAGTAGTGATATTTTAAAAAAAGTTATAAAGAATTCTGCAATTGTTAAAGTAGGTGTTGAACAGTTAGATGATATTGAATGAGCAATAGAGTTATTTTTAAATGAGATTCAGAAATTGCTTTCAGAGAATTGAAAGATTCACATTTGAATTTCATATTCATATTATAGTAAGATTTTTTTACTTTTTTGAAATTCAAATATTTCAGATCTTTATCTTGATTATAATGCAGATTTAATAAAAAATAAATAAAGTGTTATACTGACTCTATTTGATTTAGAAAAACAGTAATAAATGAAGAAGTTGATGAAGAAAAAAATGATAAAAATCATAGCAGAAATTGTGGCAGAAATCATGGTAAAAAAATGTAATGTGACGGCGCCGAGGCGATTGCTACTCGGCAGCGGCACAGAGGAGGATGGTATATAATGGGAAGCCTTATGGGTGGGCTTGATTATCTCGCTTGAACCGCGAACTCGTAGAATACTATACAAATACTGAACTACCAGAGGTACTCGGCACACTATGAATATTGTATGAGGACAGTGGTAACTCTGGTATTTTATTGTCAAAAGATAAAAGACGAATCGCTGGCTCCTGGAATAGAGAGCCAGCATCTAGCTATTCTATATAGACAACGGGCAGCCATCCTCCCCTCACTCTATAAGCGAGGGTAGCCGAAGCAACTCCGCAGTGGCGCTGCATTGATCTGCCAGAAGGAATCCAGACCCCGTATAGAAACAGGATTCTCATATCTCATCAATCGGATCCTCTTCTATTGCATCCGAATGATGTCATAGGGTGGTTGGAAACCGGTTCGGACACCTGCGTGATGTCATGGGATAGATGGGATTATCCGAGGGGAAACGATGGGCCGTGTGGAGCCGTCACGGGGCCTTGGCACAACCAAGGGTGTGACATCAGTTCACTGATCAATTGAAACAAATGTCTTTTAAATAACATTGTTATAAATGAATTTGAAATATTTCTAAACATATAATATTACTTCATTTGAGTGAGAGTTCTCAATCCTCTATACTTCACAAAAGGGACAGACCTCATAAAGGGTGTTGATAAAGAGAGTGCTATTCAAACATTCAAGAAATGATGGAGAAGTCAGCATTCAACAAATCTATATATCTTTTCAGATGAATCAGAGCAAAGCTTCAACAATATTAGATAAATAAATTATAACTTTATGATCTATCAAAGAAATAAGCAGCTGGCCAGCTTCTCAGCAACACTGAGCTCTATATCACATGTCTTCAATGCTGAGATGATTGATGTCTGCTGGACACTGAAGTATGCAGTAAAGCTTCTTCCTCATATCATGAATAGCAGCACCAACTTTCAGATCTAACTCTGTCTTGATAATACCTCAGTCATCTGAGGCATACAGAGTAACACAGTGGCCTTCTCATACTGGGCCTTCAACTGCTGTCACAAACTCCTCACAAAGCACAATATAAGTCTGAAATGATCTTTAGACCATATGAGAATAGAGGACAATGAAGAAGCAGACTGTCTGATTAAGCATACAGTTTCATCAACAGCAGCCTCAGTCTACAGATCTGAGACCATACTCACAGTCAGCAGAATCTGCATAGTGGCCAAGCAGCTTAGTCAGAAGGCAAGACAGAAGTGATAAAGTGAAGTTTGTGATAAACTCTCTGACTGATACTGAGGCTAGAGGCTCAGCAGGCCATCAGTGAAGTATCAGATTAAAGTCTCATCAGAGCTCACCATGCCATAGCATGCTCTCCACCACTGGCTCACATTCCACTCCTCTCATAGGGACTTCTCATGATATCACAGACACTTTCAGCAGATAGACATGAGGCTCATCTATGTCTGTGATCATAATAATAGCTCAGAGCACCTGATGCTGTGTTGATACTCACAGAGACACCTTCCTCACCGACTTAAAAGGTCAGCAACAAAGCCACATAACCAGGCCACAGCTGTTGCCTATCTAGAATCTCTGACTCCTATGAACTTTGTAGAACTGCTAAAACAAATGCAGTTCTACACACAATATTGCACAAGATAATGCAGCTACAGCTGCAGCTGAGTGACTGACGTGAGTAACAGAGACGGCACAACCAGTACATTTGATACAATTGATTCAGTCAGTACAATCAGTTCGATCAATACAATCAGTTCAGTCAATGCAATCAGTTCAATCAGTGCAATCAATTAAATCAGTGTGGTTGATACAATCAGTATAATTGATACAATCAGCTGTCAATCTCATGCATATATATGCTCTGCTCTGATTTCCTCTTCTGCCTCTGCCTCTATCAGCTTCAGCATTTCCTCCATCTCTCTCTTTCTTTCTCTTATCATACTTTCTTTACATTTTATTCTCCTTTTCATTCATCATCTTTAATATCTCTGCTTTGCTTTTTTTATTTATCTAGATTAGCATTTTTTTCTCTTTCTTTTAATAATGCATCACTCTGAATCTGTATTAAATCATGTGACTACACAGCATCACAGACAGCATTGCTTCTTCATTGTTTTCTTATCTATTTTATTTAAATTTCTTTTTCTTCTTCACTGTATTTATTCTCTCTTCTTCTTTTATTAAAGCACAAAGTGTTTCTTAATAAATCAAGAA